TCTCTCTCTCTCGCTTTCTCTCTCTCCCTCTCCCTCTCCCTGCCCCCGCTTGCTGGTTTAGCGGGGTGTCGCCCGATGTAACCGAGGCTGCTGATGCATTCCATTCTGAGATGTCCTGAAGGAAGCCTCGTGCATTTTGGTTTGAAGTGTGCGAGCTGGGTGCTGACAAGTGCCGGCACAACGGGAAGGCGCCTGTTGTGTCCCATGGGTGACACAAGCAAGTATAGTGTACAAGAAGGAAATATGATGGTCAGTCGGCTGCTTGACTTACAATCGCGGTCTTGAGTTGATAGGCTAGCAAGCAAGGCCACCATCTATAGAACGAACTGAGGTTCATCTTATTGGCGTATATGGTGATGTCTTCCCATGGTACATGGACGCTCGAGCAACCCAGCAGTTCGCTCATGGTGCATCACAGGCGCTTTCGTGCCTTTGTGCGCCAGTTCGCTGCTGCTTGTGCATGCACACCATCACACACTACAGTCATCACCGATATCACATGTGTACGGCTGTGTATTGAGTCTGTGCGCAACTGAGGTTTTCAAGCAGGCATTTTGGATGTGGAAGATGGGCGGCTTGTCAGCTAAAAGAACGATATTGTACAGCAACTCCAAAAACTTGCATGGTTTCAACAAAGGGAGGCTCTCCCGAAAAAAGATGCAGCAAAGCAGCCGCACACCCCTCAAACTTGTGAAGCGGTCGACGTCTTTTGGAGGGAGGAAGAAATTCCATGGAACGAAACGATTGAGTGACTCTCAGTTCCTTGGTTGCATTTTGTGGTTAAGTCATGTGTGTCCCCGTGCATTGACGAGTCTGTGTTGCTGGTGTGTCGTGCGCCAACTGCAGGGCCTATCCACTTGGTTTTGCACTCCGCTATCTGCAGAGTCATGAAGCGCTTCGGGAGAACAATTTCCTCATGTATGGGGGCGAAGCGGAGGAAGGGCCCCTTAAAACCATTCTGTATATATGACACTCTATCCGCCAAACCCCACCCAAGCATGGCTGCAGGTGCCTTCTGGTGACATCAACGGTGTCTCGCTGATGCAGCTGGATTGGAGTGACTTGTGGGAAGATGCCCAGATGCCAGAGGTCATTCGTTACTTGTACGGATGCAAAGACTTGCTTGTGAAGCTTCCTCAGCCCCTTAAGGACAAGGTGGCTAGTGGCCTAGCATGTGCAGTATAAGCCAGTTTGCTGTGTATATAGGATCGAGCAGTGGAGCATTGTTCGGGAAAACTGCCACTGCATTGCTGCCCGGGACACTTTTGAATGCTTTTCTTCACGATTTAAGTTGCTTTGGGCAGGTTTTGTGCGTTTTTCTGCAAAACCTAAAAACGTAAANNTAAAGTGGCGTATTAAAGCGTAAAAGTGGCGTAAAAAAGCGTAAAGTGGCATAATTTGTGGTTGCTGCTTTTTTGGCCGATTTCAATCACCTTGCAGCACGTACTTGCGCGAGGGATTTCAGGATCAAGGCAGGCCGGATGGCTCTCAAGTCCAGAGCGTGGAGCTGTGCGACCTTGCTCGACGGCAACGAAGCCATGGAGCAACAGAGGAAGCGTGTAAAAGAGGAAAAGCACGAGGTGAGTTCCAAGCTGGATGTGGCTCGTCGCTAAGTTTGTGCTTGTGTTCGTGTGAACTATAGGTTTCGTGCATGGATGTAAGGCAGCTCAATCCCGCCTGGAGCAGTTGAAGCTTCTCTACAAACAGAAGCATGCTCAGCAGCAGACAGCGAAGCCTGTCTCTCCGGTGGACTCTAGCAAGGAGGCTTCCACGGTTTCCCCCGCCACCTTGCAGACTTCAACGGTTCCCCCTCCCACTTTGCAGACTTCATCGGTTTCCCCTCCCACAAGCTTGCAGACTTCAAGCACCCAAGCCACCCCGCCACGTGCTACGATGGAGCCAGGCAAGGTGAACCAAACCCCGCCCCGCAGTGTCAGTCTCTCGCTGAGTGAAAGGATGTTTGGGTTTGGGTCCAAGGGGGGTAAGAGTCCTGAGTTGACAGCAGCTCGGATGAGGAAACGGGTTGGTGATGTCTATGATCATGATGCATCACCCAGACGAAAGTTATTTGATGACGACTACTCACAGGATGCGCAGCCGCAGTGGCCTGGTAGTCCTCAAATTCCTTCGCCAGCTCCTTTCCCGCCGCCGGCACCACCCTCTCCAGCCCCTTTGCCATCCCCGCAGGCCAGCACCCCACCGCCCATTCAGTACCCGACCCCAACGAAGCATGCTGACCTCGAGGCCTGCCATCATGCACGTTCCATGCACATGTGCTTGTGTACGATTGATCTGCATAGGTTGTGTCCTTGCAAGTGTCGATGGAAGGAGATGCCTGATGATGATCTCCAGAGAAACCTTTTGGAGAGCGTGGGACGCAAGGAGTCGTGTTGATTATGCCACACAATCGTAGCCAGACTCGGTTTTTTGTATCTTGATCAGGAGAATCCACTGGTCGTGGACACACCGGCTTCAAAGCGCAACACAGGGGATGAGGAAAGCAGCCAACAGAGCACCCCCGGCCAATCCAGCTCCCAGAGCAGCTCCCCGAAGCCCACCCCAAACCCCCAGCAGGCCAAGTCCCCACAGGCTTCCAAAGGTGATAAGGAATGGAACAGACACAGTGCAAAGGTGAGGCGCATGTGTAACCCAACGGGCAGGCGTTGTGGTGTCAAGGTTTCTGACGAGGTTAAGGCAAGATGGAACGGCACCACGGCGCAGCGAGATCATCTAATCAAGGTGATGATGGACTGCATGGGCGACAAGGAGTGTATGAACGAAATGTGTTGTTGCCGGTCGTTCACTACGGGGTACGTAGCTATTCTATATCCGCATGTATCTGTCCTGTCTATAGAATACTTATGTATGCAGGTAGATTTATGGTCTGTAGATAGAGCATATGTGCAGGACTACTGCAGTACTTATATGTATATATATATATATATATAATGTTTATAATGTTTGTCTAACAGTATACAGCCTATATAATGCGATGTTGCACGATGTATGTATATATCTGTGTTTTCTATGTATACACACACGATCTTCTTAAAGATATTTAATGTTTTGGCTCCTATTCATGCATAAATGCTAGTCTTATATACGTGACCTCGCAGGAGATGTTTGCTCGGGCGGCCGAGCGATTTGTCAGACGGGAAGCCAGGAAAGGCTGCATGACGGTGGTTGCCGGATGGTACTCTGAGGAAAGAATGGTGAAAGAGTTGAAGTTTTCCCCGTTTCTTGCCAGCAGGTTCAACCATGACCATATGATAGCATAGTTGCTCTAACCCAGTGAACCAAGGACCCGTGTGAAGGCCGTCAAGGCTTTCTGTGAGAAGCACCACACCAAGAAGCGAAAGTTGTGGAGGATTGTTTGAGCTGTGTTGGACCTTCTTGTGGAACCTGTATATCAGTTGCAGGAATGACAAGTATGAGGAGAACAAGAAGGAGTACTGGGTGCAGGTCTCCGAGGATGGTACCTTTACCCTTGAGAACGAGGATGTTTACGAGAAGGAGTTTCACGGGGAGGATGCAAAGGACGAGCGCAGGAAGGCTAGGGCCGGTGGTGCGAACGAGGCGTTGCCGCCGCCGGAGAGCGACTCCGATTCGGATTCAGGGTCGGGCTCCTCAGAGTCTGACTCTGGGGACAAGAAGAAGAACAAACGCAAGAGACGCAGCAGCTCCAATGCCCGCAGCACCAAGAAGTCTAAGAAGAACAAGCGCACGCCCGCAGGCAAAAAAAACAAGAAGACAAAGAAACACAAGAAGAACAAGAGCACCCCCAAAAAAGGCAAGAAGGACAAGAGCACCCCCAAAAAAGACAAGAAGGACAAGAGCACCCCCAAGAAAGACAAGAAGGACAAGAGCACCCCCAAGAAAGACAAGAAGGACAAGAGCACCCCCAAGAAAGACAAGAAGAAAGACAAGGGAAGCCCTAAAGCAGAGGTTGACTTGGAGGACCTTATTCGCATGATGAACCAGTGTTTCTGTGTGCTTTCTTTCTTTTGGTGCAACCATGTATTTACTGCATTGCAGGATATCAGGAATGTCCCCACGGTTTTGGAACAGTTGCTGAAGACGGTGGGCAAGTTGCAGAAGCTGAAACTCCGGGTGGAAAAGGTTAAGACCGAGGAAGCCAAGAAGCATCCCGGCATGGTGTGATGTTTGTGTTGCTGTTGTGTGTCCATCTCCCTGCAATGCTATATGCTTTTACAATGAGGCATGTGGCTGATTTGGATGCGACCACGCAACGACTCAATGAGCTTCATGATGGTATCGCAGAGATCAAGAGCCACTACGAGGGCCACAAGACCATGTCCAAAGAGACCCCCAGAAGCAACCCAAATGCATGTCGCACATTCGTCCTGTGTGTCGCTACAGTCGTTTGGCATCTATACAAGGAAAGTTGCGGAGTTGAAGCAGCAGCACCGGGAGGTTGAGATGGCGTGCAGGGCTTGTTTGCAAGGTATTAGCCCGAAACATGCAGACCTGCTCCATGTGTCTCGTACATGTAACATGTTGAGGTGCACAAAGGCAGTCATGACCGAAAACAAAATCCGCAAGTAGCTTGGCTGCATTGCCCGATCGATTGTTCCACAAAAGCTTTACTACACGAAATGTGTATATGGTAAAATTTGGATGTGTATATATATATATATACACATGTATCATGTCATATACGCACATGCACGTGTGTTTGTATGTCTCTATTCAATGTCTTATATAAACAAACTATGTATGTATATATACATATATGTATATACTACGTGTGTAGTACTCTCTCTCTCTATATATATATATACATGTTAAATATATGCATGCATACATTGTATTAGGTTTCTATTTGGCACTGGCAAGGGGTGTGCATTTTGATTTGTAGCCGCTTTGGAGGTTTCTTTTGAACCGGCTACTAATCAAAATCAAGTGGGGGTGGGATGGGGTGGGGTTGGGTGGGGTTGGGTGGGGTCTCTCTCTCTCTCTCTCTCTCTTTCTCGCTGTCATGTGCTGTCTGCCTCTCTTTCTGAGTCTGTCTCTCTTTCTATCGTTTTAGATCACTTAATATCATTATAATCTTCCTTCTCGAGATGTCTAGCTCGGTTTCAAGTTTTGTCGTGTCACTCAGGACGATCCTGAAGGGTGGGAAGCCGAAGCCCAAGGGCGACGAGGACGAGAGTGAAGAACCCGAAACCCCAGCCCCCCCTACCAGTAGGAAGTCAACGGCCAAGGCTAAGCCAAAGGCTAAAGCCAAGGTCAAGGGAGCAGCCAGGAAGAAGTGATCAAATGTAGCATCCTTGGGCCCTTGGGGTTGAATGCTATGCTAAAATCCCTAACGGAGTCTAGCATGTGGATCGATGGATCACGATCATCCTGGAGTGTTTTTGGGCGCCGAGTGCGCCGGGGAGCCGCAGGCCACGTGCTCTGCGATGACAGATCAGTTTGCGGGGATCGGGATCCTGTTCGACTGTTTAGAGCGTCGAGCGGGCAGTGCTGGTGATGTGAAAACGAACATGTCTGCCGTCAGTAATTCGTAACAGACCCTATAGTCATATCTTAGAATTCCGGCCCGAGCTTTTTAAAGTTTATTAGAGTTGCCGTTCCGCAGGTGTGCCACCTTCTGGACCGGCAGCGCGGGCTTTGGCGAAAGCCAGTTCGAGAGGTGTGCCTTGGGTGTGTATATATAGTCGTATGTATAGTATATGTACGGTGTCTTTTGGGTTCGGTGTTGTTTCGTCGTCTATTAGTTCCAGTATGTGTCTTTTGGATACGGTGTGGTGTTCATCCCGTGCCAATGTTAGTATCTAAGGTGTGCCATCGATTGGTGTGCGAGCTAGCTCGAGGCTTCTGGGAAGAGTACAAGCAAGCTGTTGGAGATAGTGATGATGATGGATTGCAGAGCGGGGCCATTCTGAGGGAGATGTCGCGCCGCAGCGAGACACATCACGAAGCTCAGACCGAGACCCTGTACGAGAGAAAGGGGCTCAGTGCCCCCATTCAATGGTCGTTTGTGGACCTGCCGGGCCTTCCTAATCATCCTTGGTTCAAGGTCTCCAGCTTCATGCGAGCATTCGTACACAACGACAAGCTTGGTTTGCTCCTTGGGGGATCTGTGGACTTCAATGTTGTGGAGGAATACTGGGAGCGGTATTACCATGTGGATCCGTCTCATAAGGTATTCTCCTTGCACAAAGAAGCACGCAAGTTTACCATACCGATGGCTTTGTATGCAGACGAAGGACAAACGCTCAAAAAACAAGCCATTAATATTTTGGCTATTCAGCCGGTTATTGGGAGTGGGACGCGTCTGTATCAACAGCATCGAATGGATGATTCTGCTATGGGTGCCAACTTCGCAGGCTCTACCTACCGCACGCGATTTCTTCTTTCTTGCTTGATGAAAGCCAAATATCGTAAATCGCCCCAGACGCTGGATGAGCTTCTGCGTGCGATTGTGATGGATTGCAATTTCCTTTTGGAGAAAGGTGTGGGAATCCAGGTCAATGGGCAGCAGCAGTCGCTGCGAGTGGCCGTTGTTGCCTTCAAGGCCGACTGGCCGATGCTTGCACGTGTTGGCTACCTCGAACGCCACTTTGGCAGGGTTGCGTTTGGCAAGAAGAAGATTGGGATCTGCCACTTGTGCAGTGCCGGAAAAGAGGGTGTGGCCTACCACGAATGGGAAGGGACTGCGAAGTGGCAGCGAACCCTTTTCAAGGATTCGCCTTTCAGCCGTGACGATGGACCTCTTGCACTGTTACACCAAAGTGCTACGAAAGCACGCCTTTTCATGTATGACATGTTCCACACGTGCCACAAAGGTGTGTTTGCTGAGGTTGCGGGCTCGGCAATCGAATCTGGGAAGCAGCTAGCAACTAAACAACGGTTTAACGTTTTGCTACTTGTTTTATATATTAATGTGCGAATGGTCATATGGTCTGGTTCGATCACATCTATATAGGTGGTTCTCCTGGATGAAGATCTGGCGGGCCCCGGCGATGTGGAGAAGCGCCTGGACACCCTTTTTGGTCGCTTGGAAAGTTTTTGCCGGCGGAACGGTTACTGCCTGCACATGAGCAAACTGACGAGAACTTTGATCCATTATCCCAACGAGAAAGAGTACCCTTGTGGGTTGCTCGGTGTTTGTTGTATGCTAGCCCCAAACTTTGCTATGTAAACTTTACTATGTACGTTTGCAGGTACAATATAGGATTGTGGTTTCGTTTTTAAAGGTTTAATAATCTGGATTTAGGACATGGTTCAAAGGAGGCGACACAACGAGTGTCATGGCTTGGCTGGAACGCGTTTTCGAAATGGTCGCTGCAGAGAAGCAATGCAGGTACATGACTGCCATTGCTCAGACGATCCGTTGGGGCAACGAGTTTCTGAGACTTTTATACCGGGGAGGTTTGTGGCTCACCAGGGCCCAGGCTTCGGCTGCTTTGCATGCTGGTGACGAGTTTGCTCGCAATTTCATGTTGTGTGCACAACATGCTGTATATAGAAGAATATTGCGATTCAAAATTTCACCGAAGTTTCACGCATATGCTCACTTCTTATGCGATTTCCGAATGCAGCTTTCTAACGAAGCTGCTGGCTGGATTGCCAGCCCTACGATGGCAAACTGCCAGATGGACGAAGATTTTGTGGGCCGACTATCGGCTTTGACGTGTTTCGGTTCTTTCAAAAGAACCCACAAGACCACTTTAATGCGATATCTTATCCATTTGCAAGAGCACTGGTGAAGCTTTGTATATGCATACAAGCACGCACATACGTGTACAAACATATATATAGCCTCAAGCATGCGGTGTGTTAACACTCTTGGCAGTGCTCTCTCTGTCCCTCGCTGTCTTGATCAAAGGGGGGGATGTGCGAAAAGATCAGATGAGCAGTAGAACTGTGCTTGCACTTCCACGATATATGCTGTGGGTTATAGTCGGACTAGGAGGTGATTTTATATAAGTAAAATAACCCGGTCGACACCCTTGAGTTGAAGATGAAAACCTAAAAGCAGCAACTTTAAGAAAGTTGCGCCTAAACCCGGCAACTATCGACCTTTCGAGGGTATATGTGGCAACTAGGTTTTCCAGG